CTTTATAAAAGCCTTTAGTTAAAGAAAATACACAATTCAGTTGTTTATATTTTTGAGAAAAACTGCATTTTCCCCTTGAGAAAGCCAGGCAGAGTAATCAAACACAGATCCACAGATTTATGTTTCACTTTGGTGAAGTTTCCCTTCTGGATGTAAATGTAACATTTTCTACATATAGGTCAAATTAATCACTGCTCTAAAATAACTTTGTGTGTTTTTGTCACTTTTACAGTGGATTGCATCAACTCTGTTACATCCAGAAGGGAAACTTCACCAAAGTGAAACATAAATCTGTGGATCTGTGTTTGATTACTCTGCCTGGCTTTCTCAAGGACCAGGATGTGACACAAAAATCTGAATTATGGAACTGAAAGTGAAAGTAGTCAAACTGAAGTTTTAATAAACCAAAACACAGTTTCAAAGAAAATTAATTCAGATACAAAACTTTAAATTCAGTTTCAATTTAGTGACTTTTTTTTTCAAACCAATGCATTTAATTTAAATTCTGCACATTCAGATTCAATCTGAGAAATTCAGAGTCACTTCCTGCTGGCACAACATTTATCCCGTACAAACTCTTCTGTCACCAACAAGTCTGAACTCATTAAAGCTGCCGTGCAGTCGTCTGCTCACATCAGCCCTGCTAAATCTGCAGCTCAGGTGCTAATTACAAACCATGAGGTCACCTGGCAGAGAGACTGGTTCTCAGTGAGCTCGTTGTTTCCACTCAGGTGTCAACATTCTGTTACACATGGTTGTTAACAGGCTGCGAGGGTTTTYAATGACTCTGTCAGCTCATAAAACCGAGTTCCTGCAGCTCAGCAGCGCGTGCTGTAAGAGCCGACTGATGAGGTGAAACACTGCAGCTGTGCTCTGAGCTGGAGTCAGTCCTCTTAGGTTCGCACGGTCTGACCTTCAGGGTGAATGTAATCTGTGCCGCTGTAGATCAGTTATAATTAACTAAACAGATCGATGCTACGGCTCTACCTGGTGTTTCCTGCACAGAAACAGTTTTAACTCGTCCTCTTAGTACTACAGGTACACCCATTRCAGGTACGACTGAGTAAATGTGAAATAAATAAAACAGAAATACTATTAAAAGTAAGAGCGTTTTACTCACTGTTGAGCTGTGGTGAGTAGCTGTCTTCAGTTTTCTCACTTTCCTACAGGGAATTCCCACTAGAGGGGCATTTGAGTTCAAATTTATGACTTGTATGTGGGAAATTCCCACTTCCCAGTACAACTGGGCCGCAGCAAAAGTGGCCAATGGAAATGCAGTTAGATGGAGATTTTACACGACTAATTTTGAGCCCTGTGCAGCTCCACCTAGTGGTGGGATGCCATCATTCCATGGGTAAAATAATCAAAATGCATTATGGGAAATGTAGTTTATGGTCAACGCTGTTTAAATCAGTTTATTTCAAAACAAAGTGTCTGTGACAGACATGTTCTTCAAATACAAAAAGGCAAAGAAAACGTCTTTATGTTTTATAAACTTGAGGATGTTACTCATTTTGTCACATAACTGGCATATTTTCTTTTTCAGGAAGTGACATCAAAGAGGAACTCGAGGAAAATGAGCTCTCTGGTCTTTATTGAAACTATATTGAAACTCTTAATCTCTCTGATAAATAATCTAAATAAACATTTTTAGCTGCTCTGTTCACGTTGACATCACTTCCTGTTTATTCACGTGCAAATACCTCAACATGAAATTTATTTTGCAATATTTTTCTAATATTTCCAAAAATGCGTTCATTTGCATGACATAAATTTGACGTCACAGACACTGTAGGACATCTTTGAGTCTCTCTGGGCCGTATGAAATGCTGTGATGGGCCACATTTAGCCCACGGGCCTTGAGTTTGAGACATTAGGGACTCTAATGACTTTTGACCCTTCGTAGATTGATGTGCAGCTGCAGTCCTTGCTGATGTCTGTCCGTAGTGGCGTTGTGGGCACACCTGTAGCTGCAGGTGGAGGCGGAGCCTCTATAAAACTTTATCACCTTTTCCCACATGAATTATTTGCCTTTGTGACATGATGAAGTCAGGCGCTGCAATAAATGCAAACCTTTRAACATTGACAAAGCGAGCAGCTGCAGAACGAGGAGCTGCTTCGGCTGATGTTGGATAAACAGAAGCTTCGTTTGTTTTTACCGTCAGTACCCAGAAGTACGGAGACGCCTGTCCTCCTGAAGGACAGGCAGGACTGAAGACGTCCCCGAGTTTCACAGCATCAGAAACTCCTCTGAGCACTTCCATCAGTTTGTTTTTAAATAAATCCATAAAAAGAGTCGTCTTCAAGGGATCCCTGATTAGTTGTAACATTAGACTTTATTTGATAAACATTTATTTTAACTGTAAAATAAAGACTGTAAAAATACTGTAGGCTGTTTAGTTTTGTAAATTAAAAAATATATATTTAAACACGAACGGAGCCATTTTATTTCCACACAAAGCATTCTGGGTAAATGATGACGTGGATAGGTCCTCGGTGCGAGGCTGCTAGCGAGCTATATCCACCCTGAAGGTTAATCTTGGACAATATCTGATGATCGACTCTTTTAAATGAAACCAGAGAGCGTTGACAGAGAGGAGAAGGTAGAAATGACTCAGCCTGGAACTGAGGATGGAGGACCTCAGTGACGAGAGGAGAATGTGTAGCGCTGAGCTAATACATGTATATGGTGATAGCATCGGGGCTAACGCTAAAGCTAACAGGCTAACCTGTTGTCCTCCATCCATATTTTCAGTTCCAGGCTGAGTCATTTCTACCTTCTCCTCTCTGTCAACGCTCTCTGGTTTCATTTAAAAGAGTCGATCATCAGATATTGTCCAAGATTAACCTTCAGGGTGGATATAGCTCGCTAGCAGCCTCGCACCGAGGACCTATCCACGTCATCATTTACCCAGAATGCTTTGTGTGCAAATAAAATGGCTCCGTCCGTGTTAAAATATATTTTTAAAAATTATAAAAACTAAACATCCTACAGTATTTTTACAGTCTTTATTTTACAGTTAAAATATATGTTTATCAAATTAAGTCAAATGTTACAACTAATCATGGATCCCTTTAAGAATGCGGCTGTTGTGCAACAAGACGGCTTGTCTCACGCTGACCTTTGACCTCCTGCAGGATTTGATTAAAAAAGCAAAGCCTGTAGATTTCCGGTTCCTCCCTGTGAGATAAGCACATTCTTGTTGTAACTCCTTCATGGTGTCAGCTCTGCAGCAGCTCTGGAATCTGAGACATCAGCCAAACATGGACATTTTTACTCAAACAACTCGTTTCTTTGTCCTTTGTCTCTAGTTTTAATGTTTGTCGCTCACGTCTGTAGGTTTAATGATGAAGGCTAAAAACAACTCCTGATATTTATTACTTTTAAAATAAAGATTTTGTCTTAGAAGTTGTATTTTTGGAGACATGTTTTCTGCCATTGACGTCCATATTTTAATAACATTAGTTTTACTCAGAGGGCCTGCAGTTAAAATGACCTTTATGGTGATAATGTATATTTTATAGTTTAGTTTCGTTGTTACTCACAGGGTCTGCAGGTAAACTTATTATGACGCTGAGATGTATTTTATTTATATTTTGCTTTCATTTTTATTCAAGGCCTGCAGATAAACTTATCTTTATGATGTTAAACTCTATTTTTTTGTTTATTGATGTTATTTTGGTTTTATTTTGCTGAACGTTTCCTCTGCTGTGGATGACTCTGTTCTCAGACTGTGGCAGGTAGTTTCAGGTGTGTCTCATTCATCTGTGACCTCTCTGCACGTCTTGTTTTTTCTTGTTAATATTCTGATGAATGTGAAGTTCCAGATTAGTCCTTTATTCTGCAGAGCGGTGAGGGTTCAGTAGAAACATTCAGGCTCGAAGCTCTTTGTTTGTTTTCTCTCCAAACTTCTGGCTCTTCAGGTTTTCACACGTCGAGCCAAAACAAATAAAAGCTCTGCGTGACGAGTTCATCTACCTTTAATCATCGTAAAACTAAAGGCTTTTATTCCTCTGCAGGGACAAACCTGCAGACCTGTGTCTCCCTGACTCCTGTCCTGGATCTGAAGACCCAGAACCTCTGAGCACCTGAAGACCCAGAACCTCTGAGGACCTGAAGACCCAGAACCTCTGAGGACCTGAAGACCCAGAACTGATCTGAAAGGTTTGATGTTTCAGATGCTAATTTCAACATTAAATGAATCTAATCTGAGTTTATCTGTTTCTACAAACCAGTAAAACATCATAAATCAGTTTTATTATTATTATTTTTATGTATCATTTTCTACTTTTCTGTTTGTTTTACTGAATTAAACCAATTAAATGATTTAAGTTGTTTAAATTAAACATTTATTAGCTCACTGCCATGAGAGGTGGGTGATCGTCTGTTAGCAAAGTATCAGATTTTTATCATAAATATTGGATATAAATGAACAGACGGACAGTGAGCTGAAGTTTGGTGTGGTAGTAGCTGAGAGTCATCTTCAACAGTTCTTTGTTTAATCGTGGCTCGTAAAGAGGCGGGACACAAACCGTTCTTTTCTTGTCCAGATGTGTGATGATTTAAAAACCTCAGAGAATCATTACATCTAGAAATGTAATTAACTTTCCTTAAAGGAATGAATGTCTCCGTCTCACAGCTCAAAACTGTAAACAGTACTCTCATGTGATCAGACTTCCTGTTGGAGATGACTCTCAGCTACTACCACACCAAACTTCAGCTCAGTGTCTGTAGAAACWGCTGAGCTATGGCCCTATTGCTGTTTTTTAACCTTTATTGAAACGTTTAACGTGATTTTGTTGAGGTTAATCAGCTGAGGCGGCCATCTTGAGTCACGCTGACCTCAAAATGTAATCTGTTAATCATGTATCTATTATTACTGCCTGAGACATTCAATAACATTTGTCCAGTGCTTCATGAAAGTACAAAGTATTTACTGCTTAAAGTACAGTGTATACTGTTTAAAGTACAAAGTTGTTGTTTGTACTTTAAACAAATAGTGTATACTGTTTAAAGTACAAANGTATACTGTTTAAAGTTCAGAATATATACTGTTTAAAGTACAAAGTATATACTGCTTAAAGTACAGAGTGTTTACTTTTTAAAGTACAAAGTTGTTTGTACTTTAAACAACTTGTTGAACAAATAGTGTATACTGTTTAAAGTACAGAGTGTATACTGTTTAAAGTACAGAGTGCATACTGTTTAAAGTACAGAGTGTATACTGTTTAAAGTACAGAGTGCATACTGTTTAAAGTACAGAGTGCATACTGTTTAAAGTACAAAGTTGTTGTTTGTACTTTAAACAAATAGTGTATACTGTTTAAAGTACAAAGTTGTTGTTTGTACTTTAAACAAATAGTGTATACTGTTTAAAGTACAAAGTTGTTGTTTGTACTTTAAACAAATAGTGTATACTGTTTAAAGTTCAGAATATATACTGTTTAAAGTACAAAGTATATACTGCTTAAAGTACAGAGTGTATACTGTTTAAAGTACAGAGTGTATACTGTTTAAAGTACAGAGTG